AAAAAATAAAAAAGGGGGAGATGTTGGGAGCCGCAGCCCCGAGCCCGGTCGCCTCACTTGGCGGACGTGAGGCCTGTAGTAAAGAGTAAAGCCTGAGGTAGATTACCCCTCCCATCGAGCACGTTAGTTTCCTGCTTACCGCGTAAGCAACCCGCTCAACAATATAGTCTGCCTGGCAACTGATGATGTTAGCCAATCAGCTTGCCTTGCTTACTTTAACATGATTGGACACTGTATCCGTATATATACTGGTGCCACCCCTTGGGGGGAAGAAGAAGCCCGGAAGTAGAAGCCCAGAAGGAGCCGCGGGGAGCGGACCAAAGGAGGCTTCGGCTGGGAGCGATCCCAGGGCAGGCTGTACGGAGAAGAAAAATAAAAGAAAAGGTTGTCCACTGCCAGACTTTGTCGTGTGTCCTTCCTGCCGGCCGGAAGCGACATCGACACTGTGGTACAGCAGGACCTACAAGATCATTCCATCCAGGGTCAGGATGCCCAAGCAAACACGGATACTGTGTGTCTTATTGTAGTAAAAAGAAAGGTAATGGCCTGAGTGAGGGCATTTCCCTTTACAAGAAATTAAAATTGTCTAATGGAGATGCCTTCTGCCTCTATGGTCTTTGGTCAGCTCATGTTTCTATTTTCATTTGTTCATTAGTGATGCAATTAAGAGTAAGATCACTAATCTTATTTCTCAAAATGCTACAGCCTGCCTTTATTCATATTTTGAAAAATTATTAGGGCAGCTTCACAGGTGCATTTGCTTGGTATGGTTTATGAGATCTTGAAGTCATGGCAACTGGGATTTAAGGTTTGCTATTAACAGATAAGTGAGAACCAGACCAACAGCAGACATGGAAAAGGAATTTCCTAGCAGAGGCTACCAGGTGCTGAAGAATGTGTGGGCTTTCTAAAGCACTGACCCATTCATTCATTCATTCATTCATTCATTCATTCATTCATTATTTTCTTCTTTTATTTATTAGTTCAGAATACATTTCTTGCACACCACTGAGAGGAACAGTCTGCATGGGTGGCTGGCTCACAGTAGGTGCACCTAAAATATTTGCCAAACGAGTAAGAAAATGATTCATAGCAGTGACTCATCATTAATTGCTTTGATTTACCCTTTATTTTCTAGACTTTCCTGTCTTGTCACTTCTGTCATGAATGTGGATCAAATTCTTTAGTTTTTTGATCTTTCATCTATACTTTCTTCCTGGCTATTTGCTGGAATGGACAACATTTCTGTTTTATTACTAAACTCTCTCCACATTTATGTTCTGGTTGATCAATCACAACATTCTCACACATATCAATCCACATTATTGCCACTTACTGGCTAGATAATTGGGGTTAACTTTCAAGTTGTTTAGAAATGGATTAGACTCTACTTTTGCATTCTATTTTAATTTCTTACACATCCCCTCATTTTTCCCCCTAAGTTCTGCTCTTTCTATGTTTCCCCAGCTCCCAATTTCTTCTTCATAGATCAGGGTTAAGAATGAGAGATAGTGGAAAATTTGCTTTTAAAAAAATTAGATAAAGACAACCTTATTTGCTAAAGATATTTTTTCTTTTTCTCAATTATAATTTGTGCTATGTAGTTTGCTGATTTGATAAAAGGAAACAAATAAAGTGAATTCTATTATATCATGATGATACTCTGTCCCTTGGCTTTGATCTCTTTCTTCTGGATGTCTTGTGGGGACCTGGCACCCAGGAGGCTCTTCCTAAATGCTTATTTATTGAGTAGGAAAGAAACAGCGGCTTTTAAAATTCAGAAAACAAAAACAAAAAGTTAAAAGATTGAAGTAGAAATGAAAAAGATTAAAAGTGGAAAACAGGTTTCAGGGTTCTCTTTAGATCTTGTATCTCATTTGGTGTCTTCCCCATCAGTACTGATAATTGAAAGTTAACTGCATTTCAATCTCAAATCTATTAACTGACAGGAAGTTTATTTTTGCAAAAAATGGTGGTTGACTACTTTTCAGTTTGATTTATTCAATTAATTTTAAAACTTTCGGCCCAATTTTATCTTGTCGTAGGCTTTGGAATGACTCAGATAAATTACCCCACTACAATCTATTGAAGATTTAATAATAAAAGTTGTAACAACTATAAAAAAAATCTCAAATTAAAGAAACTCAGTTTTTCTGGAAAGGCAGGGTTTATGAAATGGAAATGACTGTCCTGTCCATACTTTGAAATCATGGTGATGGTGGAGATTCCTACAGTGTCTCAGGCAATTTCCTTCTGTGAATTGTCATTTCCACAATTTCCATTTCATGCATTAGCTGGGATTTCTGTTTCACAAGCTTGCCCATTTCATAGACTTCTCTTACGTTCATACCATCAAATGGGAGTGAACCATCCAAGATTTCCCTCTCTACTTAAGTTTTCCAAACATCTCTCCATTTCTCAGTGTCTAAGAATTGCTCACACTCTTTCTGGAGATAGATCTTTCTATCAGGTTTTTTTCTTCTTCTCTGGGTTACACATTTGTTGGTATATTTCCTTGTCAGTCAAAATTTGTTGCTCATCAGTGAAAATGTTGACACTGGAGGTTTCTTCCTAGATCTTGCAACATTTTCTGAGAACAACTGGCTGTTTTCCATGTTTATAGAATATTATTTTTAATGAATATGTGCCCTTGCCCCTGACCTGTTCTACAAAAATGAAATTTTCTTTTACTTTCTCTCATTTTTATGCTGGGTCTTGAACTCAATATTTTTATATTTGAAAACTCCCAGCCCATACGAATAGTTTTTGCTTGGGGTGTCCATTATTTTGAGCATAAGGTTAGCATTGCAATGTGTGATCAGTTGGCTAAGAGATTACCAGCTCGTGGCTATTAACCATGGAAGCAATGAGTTTATTTCATGTCCTAATGTAATACATTCACTGCTTAGAAGTCTGAAATTTTCATATTGGGTAGCAGTAGTAACTTGTAAATAGCTGAAAATGATGCATGGAATGTAGGGAACTGATGAGGAGAGAGGTGGAAAGAAAACCACAGCAGGCTCCCCATTACCCTTAAATATGAAAACAGGGATTGGGGGTGTAGCTCGGTGGTAGAGCACTTACTTTGCATGCAGGAGGCCCTGGGTTTGATCTCCAGCACCACAGGATTTGGGGAGGGGGCACTGCAGACTTTAACACACATGCAGCTTCTTCAATTTAGCTATTAGCGATCATTGAGCCATATCCTGACTCGATTTTTTTCCCCCTAAACATCCCAGTGAAGCCTGAGGGTCTCTCCTTCCCCTCCCCTTCCATAATTCAGAGAAGGGAAAGAAAACAATTTGACATACAGATTTTCTTGATCTCCTGAGATGTGGTTGCCTTCATTTTTCTACTTCCACTTCTCAAAATGTTCCAATAATTGTGTGCATTGGAAAATGGATATCTACACTGAGGTGGAAACAAGAAAATAAATAAGCAGCCTCTGCCTAAAATGTCATCGAGGATGAGGACATTAGCCTCAGGCACCTGCAATAGCCCCTGGCTGGTCCTAACCACTTTGCCTCCCCTGTGGAAATCTTGGTGGCTGCTCCAACTGGTCCAAACTGAGTGCAAGGTCAGCTTAGAGGACAAAAGGTAGTGATAGCACCACACACCTCCGAGAGCTTGCGTTGTTCTTCTTCAAACCATTGTGATTTCCCTGAGGGTTCTTAATGGAAGTTTGCCATAATTAAAAGACAGTGTCACAAACCAATGAATATTAAAGATTGGGTCTGACCTGACAGCTGTCAACCAAGCCTAGATCTCAATGACTAACTTCAGAGAGCTCCTTCCCTGAGATGTAACCCGTGCATCTTTCCTTACGCTCTCAGTACCACAAGCATTTAAGAGATTTTCAGTACCACCCCAAACCTAGTATCTCTGAGCAAAAATATGAAATTTGAAAGTTAATTTCTTTCTTCTTCTTTTTTTTGGGGGAGCAGGGCCTCCTGGATGCTAAACAAGTGGTCTACCACTTAGCTATACCCCCAGTCTTAAAAGTTGCCTTTTCAAAAATAGGGAAATAGTTCCTTTAGATTAATTTGTAAGAAAGAATGACTTTGCAGAAATCCAGAGACACTTTGGGAGGACAAAGGATAATAAATAGGACATCCTGGGGGACCCTTTGCAGGCCAGAGTGGCTCCCCACATTCCAGGCAAACTCCAGGGTGTGAGGAGACTTAGACTGAGTAAACAAGGACTCTCTGCTGTCTGGAGTGGCAGTACGAGGGTGAGCAAATTTGAATATTTTAGATAAGATTCTGCATTTGTCACGCTGCTTCTTTGTAGGGAGAGACATTTCACTGTTTCTTTTAATGAACACTCTAAAGTGATTTATGACAATTCTGAGAGACACTCGTCTGGAATGGAGTTCTTCTCAGATTAATGATGATGGCAAAAAATAGTGTGCCCACATCTGTTGAGAATTAAAGGTTGTTGGAAAATGCTTCTCATAAATTGTTAATGAGGAATTCACAAAATTGTTCCTTCAAACTCCTCTACCATACTCCTCCCCCTTTTAAGAATAAAGCAAACAGTCAGGGCTGGGGAGGTAGCTCAGTAGTAGAGCACGTGCCTTGCATGTGGGGGACCCTGAGATCTATCTTTTGCACCACCATCAAAAAAACAAAAATTCAAAACACACACACACACACACACACACACACACACACACACACACTTGCACACCAGAAAAGATTAGCAATAGATGCATTTAAATGTGCACAATGTGAATCTAAAACGGTGGATCCTAATCTGTTCTTCTTAACAATCTGCATTCTGTATTTTCTACAAAGCACATACAATAAAACTGTTTAACAATAAACATCTTCATTTGCCTTTTAACAGAGCATCCAATTTTGAAGTCATTAAGCAAAAGCAAACCTCCCAGAAGCCCAAGAAATAAAGTCCAGAAGCCCGGCCAGTGGAGAGCCTCTCCTTCTGCCCAAGTGCCCCAGAGCGTAGCATGGCCCTGACAGCTCGCTGTGGTTCAGATAACAAACCAGAGAAGAAGAGAGGCTTTTATTTGAATTGTCAGCCTTAGCCTTGAGATACAGTGCAAATGGTTTTACAGCCAAATCACATCTTTGTGAACAATGTCACAAAGATAGAAAAGGAGCATATACATTTTTTCTTTTCTTTTTCTTTCTTTCTTCCTTCCTTTTTTTTTTTTTTTTTTTTTAATCTCACAGATGTCCTGAATAAAGTACACTTGGTTCCAATTTCATCTTGATAGTGCATCACAGATCACAGTGACAGCCTTCCTGGAAAAATCGCTGATCCTGGGTAGAGCTGGTTTTTTTCCACTCTGGGAGGAGAAGCTCTGCATTTTCATTAGCAGACACTCAGCCCAGAACCATTCTTACTATTTCTTACTGTTTTAAAAGCCTTCTTGGTTTTGATAGATTTCTTAGGTACCAGAATGTCCTGGCCTCTGGAGAGTGCAGATGGGACGTGAGCCTTAGCAAGGATCCTATCTAACTAAACACACCACGGTATCACCTACCATCTGCCACAGCATATGCTTAAAAAGGCACGATTTGCAAACTAAGTAGACAGGAAAACTCAGGTTTCCTTGGCACACAAGATCTCCATTATAGAAATCTCAGCTGTAATTTCAAAGGTGTCAAGAACCAAAATGATAATGACCTTCTGTAGGTCTCAGGCACTGGGACAGCTCACTCATTAAAAGGTCCAAACGATCTGGACGATGGATCACAGCATCTGAGTTGAAGATCCCAAGTAATCTTGGGTTGATCCTGGGGTCTGTAGGGCTAGGACCTGTCTGGTTTGGGGATTTTACCTAAAATAGGGCCAAGAGAAAAATTATACAAGGGAGTCAGAGGCAGCGAGGCTCCTGAGGGGAACACTGCATAAACAAGCTCTAGACAGCAGACGGAGGAGCCTGCAGGGAGGAAAAAAACAAGCACAATCCCTGTGGAGTTCACATCACCAGGACCATGAGTCAGCGTGTATCCGTTCTTGGTGTTTTTGGCAGAGGCGGAAGAGGAGGAGGAAAGCAGAGCAGAGGAAGAGGAGGAGATGACCTCATGTACCTCTCCAGCTCACCTGGGAACGCTAGAGCCCAGAAATAGTACTGTGTGGCTCTGATTCTCACGGTGCCCGGCATGGTGTTACAGGTGAGAAAGCAAAACCAGACGAGGGTCAGGGTGCTACCCTCTCCACATTGCGCGTATAGAGGAGCAGGCACATCGCACCTTCCTTTGACTGGAGGCTGTTTAATTCTCACATGGGCTCTGAAACTCTCTCAAGGATCCCACTGTGAACTATTCTTTAAGAGTTTCCCAGGTACCCGTGAAAAACTGGTAACATGACCCTGGACCCAGCTGGGACAGGATCATACATCTCTAAAGTGGTCACATGAATCTTTGGAAGTGTCTCAATTTGTTGTCCCTTTCCTCTTTTATTTGTATTCAAAATGTACACAGAACTCAACCAGGCTATGTGAGCTCCATGACTGATTACCATCTAGCAACCCTCTTCTGCCTGCATCAATATGGTAGCCTCCTAACGGGTCTCCCTTTCTCTACTTTTGCCTCTCAGCCCACCGTACCAACTCTCATCAAAACAGCCAGAGGGATGCTCTGGAAACCTTGATCATAACACATTACTACACCATCCCATGGTTCTTACTGGGGGAAAGCCAGAGTTGCTGTACAATGGACCTCCTCCACTGGTCCCTCCTTGCCCCCTCGTGCTCTCCTCCCATGCCAGGCATGCCTTCACTACAGGTTCTTTGCGTTTGAAGTCCCCGCTGCTGGGAAAGTTCTTCTAGTATTGGCTTCCTTCAAGTCTTTGCTTATGTGTGTTCTTCCCAATGGGGGCAGCCCTAATTCCTTAGGGAGCTGCACCTCACTCACCTTCCCTGGCACAGCCTCACTTGATTTTCCTCCGCAGTGCACAGCAGTTACCACCTGAAGCATTTGTGACTTTGCTTATTGTCTGCACCCCACGCCTAACCCAGAAGCTTCATGAAGGCAAGGGTGTTTGGTCCGTTTTGTTTACAGTTGTAGTCTTGGTACCTAGAATTATGATCCACACATAATAGGCACCTAAAAGTGTTTGTGAATTGAATTTGCCAAATTTTTCTAGAAATCTTGTGGGGAGTTTTCTTATGTACTGTATTATTCATTTGAAAGGTCATATCTGATTGGAACAGGAAAAACATTTGTAAAATCCTATACACACCCTCCGGGGGCTGCTCAGCAGTTTGCTCATGAAATAGGCTGTAGAAGAGGATGCCGAGGGTCTCACGGATTGAAATCACACAAAGAGAAGCTGCAGGTCCTTAATGTTCCTTCTCAAAAAAAAAAAAAAAAAAAAGAAAAGAAAAGAAAAGAAAAAAACAAACGATCGCCTTTTGGTTGAGGAAAGGATGTATCTTATCATTACCCAGGTTTTAGCTGGTGCAGTGGAAGTGTCATTTCCTCTCAATGGTTTTTTCTAAGAAACCACTTTTGAATATTTGGAATTATTTTACTGATGGATGAGAGACAGAGTCTCATTACGCTGCCCAGGCTGATGTCAAACTCCTGGGCTAAAGCCATTCTTTTACCTTGCCCTTTCAAGTAGCTGTGACTGCAGGTACAGGTCACATGCCCAGCCTGAGCACTTGGTAATTTCAGACAGAGCTGGGCATTCTGGAGCCTGCCTGTAGAGAAGGCTGAGGCAGGAGGCTCCCTGAGCCTAGGAGCTAGGGGCCAGCCCGTGTAACACAGCAAGATCCCATCTTGGAAAAAAAATTTTTTTTGGTTTTAAATAAACACAAAAGACAGATCTGGCATTAGCCAGGTCTCTTTGAGCCTATGTGTATTCTTGTTTATTTTCCATGAAGTTTATTTCATTAGAAACTTGGGTGGACATAGATGATGAAAGCTCACAGATTATCATTGTTTGTGTAGTTGAAACCTGCTGTGGGAGGCCTTTCAAGGTTATTACCCAATACTTTCTCTGCTCTTATTTACATACATCAGTCCCACTGGCTAAAAATCCATAACTATTCTCTTGACTTCTCTTTGTGAATTGATACTGCTATTGAAAATAACATCCTTGAAGACAGAGCAAGGTAATATTCATTCTTTAAAGAAGCTATCTTATTATGTTTACTTGGCTGTTATTTCTTATTTAGCTTAGAAGAGCTATAGTGTGGTAAAATGTTGTATCTTACATAATGATTATAATTTAAAAATGAAAACTACTAGGTATCTTTTCTTCTTTGGTTTTGCTGGCTGTGTGATTTTTTTTTTTACTCCATCTGTAAACATATATAAAACGAATAAGAGTAAATGAATTACAGAGCTATAATTCCATTGCGGGCTCTGGAAACAGCTTCCAGCCTCCAGAGCCAAGCTCTTACAGTCTGTAACGGATCAGAATTGCAAGGCAGAGTTACAGCTCCATTATTCCAGGTTTGCTTGTTGTTAATTTTATGGAGCACATAAAAGCTAATGTAAAGCATCTGTGGCATCCTTGACCCCTTTAAGAAACCTGTATCCATGGCAGCTGAGAGGCGGTAGCAGGAGGCTTTGAATTCACACAAAGCTTTTCAAGAAAAAGAAATCCCTTGTCCCTTGAAGATTTCTTTGATGCTACACCCACGAGGTCATAAGCTTGGGGTAAATTTCAGCCTATTAAATCAACATAAATTAATTGGCCTCATACTCTTGGCAGGTCTTGTACTCGGGGGCTGGATTACCATAGTGAATAAACAAAACACAAATTTGTCTGCCCTCATGGAGCTTCTTTATATTGGGATACGAAGTATGTGGCATGCAGCAACCCATTTTAGGCAAAACTGGTTACAAAATGATGCTTTAAGGGTAGGAATAGGACTCGCAAGACTGGGGATGGGGGATGCCCTTTTAAACACAATTTATATCTTTAGACTAACTGATAAGATAACATTTGAGCAGAGCCACAGGGGAGGTATGGGAGCAAATCTCTGGAGAGAAGAGACTCCCAAACACAAAGGGCAGCCTGTGCAAAGGCCCTGAGGCAGAGGAAGTAACAGTGCAATGTCAATTGTTACTTCCAATTGCATAGGAATGACAGGGGATAAGGTCCTCTATTAGTCAGTTTTCCCATTTTTGTGATGCAATACTTGGTACCCACAACTTAAAGGAGAGGTTTTATTTGGTTCATGATGTCAGAGAGTTCAGTTCATGGTTGGCTGGTACCAAAATACATACATCATGGTGGAAGGGCAGGACAGAGCAAAGACACTTAGTTCATGGCAGCCAGGAAGTACAGCCAGGGAATGGTGCCAAGGAAAAAGGAACCAGGGACCATATATGGTGCCCAAGGTCACACCTCCATGACCTCCCCTTGGGCAGCTTCTAGTCAATCAAACTGGCACAATTATCTTAACCATCACAAAGCCCCAGATTCAGAGGACTGGATCCTGTAGAGCGGCTAGGGCAAACCTTCTAGAGCTTTCAATGATACAAACAGCCCACTGCAGCACACATGCCACAGGTTTGCCCCCACTGCTGCAGCGTTTTCCAGATGAGGGGAAGGCCTTGGAATCCTCTGAGGAGAACGCAAAGTCACTGAAGAATTTCAGGAAGAGAAATGATTGTATTCTAAGAGATCATTAAGGTGACCTCAAAGAAAATGATGTCTGGAGGCCAGGATTTAAACAGATGAGTTAGAAGGCTACTGTAAAAATCCAGGTAAGAGATTAGAGGGGCTTAACTGAAAGTGGTAAGATAGATTCTATTTTTGGTTGCATGTTCAAGGTAGAAACAGCAGAACCGGCTGAGAGATTGGATGTGGGGTGACCCTAAGTCTCCACTTCCCTGAAATTGCCAAACCGAGGTACACACAAATCTTTGAGATTCCTCCCTCCTGCTTTCGGCTCTAACGAAGGACCCTCAACACTACATCACTGGTGACATTAGGAGCTTATTCCTCTGCTAGGCTTTATTAGCACTTTTATAGCGTGTGCAAGGGCACGAGAACATGATTCGTCTCCTCTTCCGTTTTCTTGAAACTCAACTTGTTACCACGGCGAGCCTTCCCGCTCAAGCTCAGCAGTTCTCCTGAGTCCCAAAACAACAAATGTCTCTGTTCTTTTCCCACCGCTGCCTCTGTGCATCATTTATGCCTCTTTCCCCCGTAAATTCAGATGTTTCTTTCCTTTGAACTCTGCATTAACTACAGCATGTTCAGGCTGATGCAATACTGCGATCTTCATGCTGACTCTTCTGTTCATGAATTTCCAGAAAGCTAGCAGCTAGCGGTGAGCGTCTTTTGTTTAATGTCATTAGCTCATTGCCCCTGACAGGTTTCTGACTTGCTTTCCAGTTCTTTTTCCTGTGCATCACATCACCTCCCTCCACCAAACTGAAATTGCTCAGCAAACTCTTGTTACACATTCTCACCCCACCTTCTTCTCTTCGGCGCAGATTTATATAACATTGGATATGCTAAGAGAACAGTGAGTGAAACAACCAAACAGAGGGCATGAATTGAGGAGTGTTTCCACGTTTTCCCCATTATCTGGTCTTTCCTGTGTAGTTAGGGAATTGAACACAAGAAGCTTCATTGTATAGTACTCACAAATACCACTGGGAGGGGTAATCCTTTACTCTAGAAATCTTTGTTTTTTTCTTGGTGTCAAATAAGCAATTATGTGTTAGTTGTTAGTCATTTATGCAATTCACTGGACTATTTATGGCTCTGTACTTTGTGTAGAACAAAAGAAGACTGTATTTCCTGGCCCCTTTTGGTTCGATGAGGCCACGTGACTAGTTCTGGCCAATGACTTGAGAGCAGAAGTAATATTTAGGATTTCAGTCAGCGCATTTAATTGCTGGAAAAAGATTCTATGGCCTTCCTTTCTCCTTGAGGATGCTGAGTTGTGGGTCCTCGATGGCTCTGAGGAGGAGCCCCTTGGAAGCCTGTGTTGGATAAAAACACAAGTGAGAAACCCTCACTTTGGCTGCCGAGATCTTATTCCTGCAGCATCACCAGTCTTTTTTGGTGGTGATGCTCAGGTTTTTCTAGTAAACAGGGGATGTGCTGCCATGGATGAAGTAGGATCCTACAGGCAAAATGGAGAAACACATGGAGGCTGTGATGCATTGGAAGTGTGGGCTCCCCCAGCTTCTCCCCGGTGATGGTCTCTGCCTAAGATCAGGCATCATCCTGGGTGCCTCAGAGCTGGGCTCCCTCTTGGTAGGGAGGGAATGTTCCACTGCATGTGGAAGCTGAGCCTAGAGGGATCAGTGGCTCTGCCCTGTGACATTCAGAGAGTGGGGCTCACGTGATCCTTTCTCCAGGTCTCTGGTGCTTATTCAACATGGGTGAGAAGCTCCTGGCAAGGTCAGGAGGACTGAACAAGGCCTGGTGAGGTGTAAGTACCACTGTGTGTCAAAGGAATGATTTCTAGCTTCCTGTAGAGACCATTAGCTAGATTGCAGTATCTGCTGCTTGTGCTGCCTTTGCCAGGATCATTGCTTCTTGCTTTGAACCTTGCGGGAAGGAGGAGGAGAAAAGGAAGAGTCCTTGGTCTCCCTCCCAGTTTGTGTGAAGCCTGGATAAAGGAGCCTGGTGTTTAGAGAGTCGCCTCGTTTTTAATTGGCAAGAGGAGGCTCGTGAGATCCCCTAGCTTTCTGCTTGTGTTATGATTTTGTGACAGTGTGAAGTCCATCTTTGAGCCATTATTGATCTCACAAGCTGTCAATAACTCAGAGACTTCAACTCTGATTAAAACCCACACTAGAAAATATTACCACAATCCAGTGACAGGCATGGAAGAGAAAGCCACAATAATACTGTTAACAACATGCCAGTTCCCAGGCCCTTAACCTGAGTGGCTGACTCAGTGTGCAGAAATCTCCCCAGGGTCATCACTGATTTAACAGCTGGGACCCAGCAGGTGCTTGGTCTGCCCCAGATGCTCACCTTTCCCCGCTGGGGGAGGGAGAGGGCTGAGGTGTGGCCATCTGTTGTGATCTTTTGGCAGGGAGCTGAGTCTTTGGCAGAGAAGGGAAGTCACCGACCAGCATGGCTAGGAAACTGCAGATAGGGGACTCAAAAGTTTTAGTGCAATCATTCCAATTAATTGCATTGTCCCCATTGGCCACTTTCCTTAAACCCTGTTACCTCAGAGTCCTCAAAAAATGATGTTGCCCTTTCTGTCACCAGATCTGTCCTGTGTCCAGCTCATCCAGGACATTTTTTACCACTTGACCCAGATATTGTTCCCTGAATACTGTCCGGTCAGGCACCAGCCTCCTTCCTGTATGGCCTGTCTAGGCAGCTTCAGCTCCTTGGGCTGAGTTGTTAATGTTGCTAATGGTTTAAGGTGTTACTCTTCTCACTCATCTGCTTGCAACAGGGACCTTTCAGCTGGAAACCTAAGGTGTTACTGCTTAGATTTTAGGGCATATAACAAAAGATGGGTGTGGGAGAGTAACACTCTCTTTGGGGGACACTTCAGATCACCTTGGGTAAGCAGCACATTCCTTTGTCTATAAGGCTCAGGGGAGTGATACAGACCTCTATTTGCAGTCAGGGCTATGTAGCTGTCTAGTTCTTTAGGATCTCACAAAATGCCACCTCCTCCAGGCTCTTTCTTTAACAAAGGTCACCACTTGCTGGCCTTCTCTTTGGCCTTATTGTCCATGGGTTCCTCACAGTCTAAATCAACTTTGCAGAATGCAGATAAACCTGTCCTTTAGGCAAACATGTAGTCAGGTGTCATAGTTCTGCCCAGCTGAAAAGCAAGAGTTATTCCAGTATTCAGTGGGCAAGTTCTTTTAAGAAATAAATTTGGTCCAGGCATGGTGGTGCACTCCTATAATCCTAGCTTGGGAGCCTGAGGCAGGAGGATAGTTGCAAGTTTGAGATCAGCCTGGGCTACAAAGTGAGCCAAAAGGCAGGCTGAACTGCATAACGGGACCCTGTCTCAAAAAAAGGGAACTTGCTGTATTGGAATAAGGATTCTGAGTCTGGGAATCTCTTTCTCTATCAACCATAAACACTAATCAGAGACTAAAATCTGATTGTAGTTAACATGGAAAAGATCCTGTGTGTTCTAATCACATGTGCACATACATGCCTGCTGGTACACACACACCCCGCAATCCCTAATGGGTAAGTTATTTTATATCAACTAAAAAGCAAAAGACTCTGGGGTTGAGTGACAATAGGTATAACATATTTGGGGGGAAATGTGACACACAAGTATTAAAGTCTTTAAAATGTGCATATCTGTTTGGGGTCTGTGCCTAGAACCCCAATCCCCCAAATGGGTGCACAGTGAAGGCTCAAAGGAATGAGACACTTGGCATGGTCTTTAGGGCTGCAGGAGGACTGAAATGCTCAGCAGAGCTCATAACCCTGCTAGCTGACCAGCTGACTGACTCTGGGCAGCCCATATTTAATCAGAACAAGCAAGGAGTTGAGTGGAAAATGCAGGAAACCTGAACAGAATCTTGGGAGGGGCTCAAGGACCCAGAAGAGCAACAGATGATGCTAATTAAGGAAAACTATCCAGAAAGTCTCCAGGTGGCCTCAGCTGTGGCCTGTCTTACCCCCTGAGGTATCTCATCATTCTCAGTTCAATCATGCCCGGGCCACACCACAGCCCTGCTTGTGTACTCAGCCTCTGTGGTCTCCAACACATATCCTTTGATTTAGCAAGCCTATATGTGGGAATTTATCCTGAAGTATTAATCAGTGATGCTCACAAAGAATTATATATAAGGACTTGTGAAGATGCTCATTTTAGCCCTTTTCATTTCAAAATATTAGAAATAGTTCATATGACAAAAAAGTAGGATTAATAAATGGTAAAATACTCAGAGCACATTGTTGAGTTAAAAAGTGGGTTATAAAGGATAGCTTAATCTGTTTTGTAAAGTGCAATATACATGATTATATATGATATATATTATGATATATATGGTATGATTATATATATATATATATATATATATGATTAAAAGGCCATCTACCAACACATTAATAGTAGTTATCTCTGAGGGTTTGCATGCATGTTTTTAAATTTCTTCTTTACATGCCAAATGGTTAAGATTTACTTCTTTTACAACCAGAGTCTATTAAAGAAGGTGGTTGGGGTGTAGGCTGTGTATTGAAAGGCACACTCTAACCCTGGGAGGGACAGTCCTTCTAGTCACCCCAGGACCCCAAGATATCAGAGCATCAAAAATACAGAATCAAAGACATGATTAACACAATTGTAAATGAGACAAATTGTAAATGAGACAAAAAGGGCCATACCCTTAGTAAACTGTGACACTTGCTAACCTCTGTTTTACAGACTCTCAATTGTATTTCTTTTATTGGCCAGCTGTTCCTGTGTAACAGCACATCCTAAACTTCAGAGACCTAAAGCACCAGTTGTTTCATTTGCTTATGATTCCGCTAACTGCTGAGCTCGGCTGAGTGGTTCTTGGGCTGGCCTTGCCAAGGGTCACTCATCGTAGTACATTTAGCTTGCCGGACAGCGGTGGGCTGTGTTCAGCTGCATTGCTGCCATGGCCGGGCCTCCCCCAACCCCTGAGAGTGCAGGGCCCTGCTCTGTCCTAATCACCTCTCCTGGACAGAAGCTGGGCGTCTTCCTTGGCTCCCCAGGGCTCTAGAGAGTGAGGAAGCAGAAGTTGCATTTCTACTGCATTCTCTTGGTGAAGAAAGTGGCAATCCTAGCCCAGACAGGTGAGGATGGGGCATAACCACCAATGAGGCCATGTGCTAGCAGAGGTTTGTCACTGGGGGCCATCGGTGGGCTGTCAAAATAGGCGAGGAAGAACATGCATTCCAGCAGTCTTTGAATCCTTTGAGGCCCTGAGAGATAGCATAGCTGCCTTTTACTGTGATAAGATATTTTAAATAAAATAAAAAATAAAAACCTAGTCCAATCCAGCCAGGAAACCGAGACTCTGATGATTACTATCCATAGAGGTTGTGTGAATGTTCTGGAATTTTCCTTTAAAAAGTAACAAGTCAAGGAACTGTATTTATTTGCAAAGAAGAAGATTTTTAAATGGCCAGAGCCAGTTTTCAATAAACAGGCCTCTGAGAATGAGGATATAATTGATTTTTAGAAAAAGTGTCTCCACCAGAAAATCACTGGCTTGACTTGATGAAGGACCAGTGCTGCTTATTTGAATTCTCAGCGGCCACAGTAAGGATCTTTCCTTTTTCTTTATAGTCTTACAGTAGATCTGGATGTTTTGTAAGGCTGAATAACCTCCCGCTTAAAAAATAAAGAAACCTTGAGAAGCAAAAAGATTCATGAGTCTTGCCAAACACCAAATGGCCGCCCCAGTTTTCCTTTTATAAAAAAAATTCACGGATGATCATGATTATGTCAGCTCCCTTGTTTGGAATTTAGGCTCGCGGAGAAGATTGTTCAGCTGAGATTTCTTGAGCACTTTTTTCAGGTAGATGGATTTGCTGTCTTTAGGAGCACGCAGAGCCCACTTGCTTGGACTTCCCTGTCACAGTGCCCCTAGTGGCAGAGGAGAAGAACGCACGCAGCTGGGCTCCAGCCCTAGGTGTACCCGAAACATTTATTCTTGAGGTCTCCTCTTAATTTTTAGATTTTGTGCTAATCTTTATTTCTGCTCCATGACTCACTCATAGTCGTTTTAAAAGAAAATGTGATGTTTCCAATTATTCATCTTCTATTCCTATGGTTCATATGGTGCATATCTAGATGTCCCCTGGCTAACAGGACTTTTGCGGAGGCAATTATATCCCAGCTGGATGGTACTCATCAGGGCAGAGGCGAATCACTGGTGTTGTGGCTTGGGGGTCTGTCTCCTTTGCTCCTCCCTTGATCCCTGTTTTAGTTACTTTCTTATTGCTGAGGCAAAACATCTGACACCCACGAATTAAAGGGTAGAAGATTTACTTCAGCTCACAATGTGTGGAGGTTTCAGTCCACAGTCAGCTGGCTCCCAGGCAGGGTGGCATCGCAGAGGAGAAACAGTTTGTGGCATGGCAGGCAGAAGACAGCAGCAGCCCGCCTGCCCTCTCTCCCTTTATAGTCCATACAGGCTGGAGCCTTGTTGATTGGGGCCACCCACATCCAGGCTGGGGGCTTCCCTTATCCACACCCATAACCCCAGTATCACATCCTTAGTCCGAATTCACAGGTCCATCATGGCCACCTTTGAAACTCTCTACCTGTGACTCCAGGAGGCTTTGGGGGGACATCCAGATATAAGCCATGACAACCCCTCTCTCTGCTTTCCACCTGCAATGCCAGGAGCTGTTTCCCCTCTGCCATGCCACCCCACCTTGGAGTTGGGTGACCATGGACTGAAACCTCCACAAACTGTGAGCCAAAATAAACTCTCCTTTAAATCATGGGTGTTGGATATTTTGTTCCAGCAACAAGAAAGAAGATGCCTATCCTGGAGGTAACCAGGACATTGCATCCCTGTCTTCTCCCCTCCACCCTAATTACTCTCCTCTGCTTACTGGACAATCTTTTGATGCTTGACAACACCAGTCATTTCCATCAGAACATATTAAATCCCTTCACCTTTACCTCCAAGAACATATTTTCCTGTTTACACATTTTGCAATGAGTTCTGAATTTTCTTCCTTCAAAGTTTTTCTCTTTTGTATATTCTCCTTCAATTTTTTTGGTACTGGGAATTGAACTCATGACCTCACACTTGTGAGGCAGGTGCTGTGCTGCTGAGCTATATCCCTGGCTCTCTTTCAATTTTAGGATAAAGTTTAGCACTCTCTCTTTATAGTTATCCTCCTAATCATCGCATAATAATTCTTCATAACTAATTGGTCCTGTTCTGAGCATGTGTTTCCTACCTACAGTCTGGACTCAGCCTTAGAGGCTTCCACCAAGCTATTCTTACCTGTTATTCTTTTAATTTCATTTGCTGCTCATTCTTAGCTTCTTTGACAACTTTCCTTACCTCATGCATCCTTTTGACAATTGTATATCTCAGGCTCCTATTTTAAGCCCTCTACATATTCTTCCTAGCCCAGCCTACCCACTTTCATGAATTCTGTTATCACTTACATTCTGGTTATTCCTAAGTCTTTTCCTATAAGGAGCACAAGCCCTTTACTGAGGAACAGAAGTTTATTTTTGTTAGCTTGCTGGATACCGCCAAGCAAATGCCCTGTGGTACCTCAAATGTAAGTGTTCAAAAATTCACTACATCCTCCACAAAATCTGTTTCTCCTCCTGTGTTCCCAACTGAACACCACCATCCTCTCACTTACCCAGGATAGGAACTTTGAAGTTATATTTGACACCTCCTCCACACTTCCCGAGTGTAGTCACCCAAATTCTGTCGAATCTAGCTCCAAACCTGTCACTTTTCTGCTGGTCCAGGATTACAGCATCTCTTGTTTGGTTCGTGGGGAAGGCCTCTCCCTTGTAGACAGCTGCTTTCTTGCCAAGTCCTCAGGTGAAAGAGACAGAAAGTTCTGGAATCCTTTCCTTTTAAAGGGCACTAACTCCATCATAAGCACTCTATCCTCTTGATTTCATCTAAACTCAATTATCTTCCAAAGGCCCCCCTTTCTCTTCTTTTTTCTCTTTTCTTTCCTCTTCTCCCCTACCTTTCCCTCACCTTTCCTCTCCTCTTTTTTTCCTCCTTCCTTCTCTTTCCTTCCTTCCTTGTATGAAGTTTGAACCAAGGGCCTAAGGCTCTTCACACTGAATTCTATCTCTAACCCTTTTTATTTACATATTTTTAAACTTTGAGACTAGGACTCCCTAAATTGCTAAACTGGCCAGGCTGAGCTTGAATTTACAATCTCCTGCCTCAGCCTCCTGAAGTGGTGGGATTAACAGGAATGTGTCATCACACCTAGTGAAAGCCCCACTTTCTAATGCTGCAACTCTGGGGCTTCTCCACGTGAATCCGGGAGAACACCAACATAGCAGTCTTACCTATGTCCTGGGTGCTTCCCTCACTTTCAGTACTGCCTTTCTTCTTCTTATTTTGTGGTCTTCAGGCTTGTCTTCCAAAAGGCACAAATGGCCAAGCATCCTCCCAGGAGAACCACCACGGTTGTGGGAGGGCAGAATCGAGCTCAGCCCGTCCATCTTTGCTTCCCTCAGTGACTCCTCTTTTCTTCCCACTCTCTTCTTTGTCCCCCTTGTGAAGACTCTGTCCTCTGTCCCCATGCTGCTCCTGTTTTGGGTCTGTCCCAAATAGAACGGCTTTTCTGAAGCCCCTCCCCAGAGAGGACCAGTCATTCTCTACGTGACATTTGTCAGTGGCTCTTAATGTCGGCTGCATATTGGAGTCACCAGGTATTCTCTAGAGAACCAGAACCAACAGGATATTGATAAGCAGTTGATATCATCTGCCACATTCACACGTGTGTAAAAGGATTTATTATAGAAGGATTTAATTTTGGTGATTGTGGAGGCTGTCAGGATATGGATTAGGAAAGCTTGAGTCTCAGTTCTGGGCTAAAGGTCAGCAGACTCCATACCCAGGAAGAGCTAGAGTTTCATTCAAATCCAAAGGCAGGAAAAAACCGACAGGCACCAAGCAGGAAGAATTTGGGGATGATCAGGCTTTTTGTTCTTTTCAGGCCTTAGCTGATTGGATGAGGCCTGCCCACCAGGGGAGGGTAATCTGCTTTATACTAATCTACTGATTTAAATCTTAAACTCATCAAAAAAATTCAACTGGAATAATGTCTGGACAAATATCTAGGCACGCGTTGGCCTGGTCAAGTTCATACATAAAAGTAACCATCACAACCAGGGAACTAACTATTAGAATATACTGGTTCTGCTGAGTCCCATCCAGGGGTTTTGTTTCCATTGGTGTGGGATAGAGCCTGAATATCAATACATTTTTAACTTTTCCTGTAGCCAGAGAGAAAAAGCCAAGAGAATTACATAAATAATTTAAACAGTTGATCCTCTCCATCTGGTGGTTTCACATCTGCAGACACTGAAGACTGACTTTAGTCAGTCGTGGATTTTGATACCCACAGCTGGTCCTAGAACCAGTACTTCAGGAATACTGAGAAATACCATAAAGATATACACACACAGTTACACGCGCATGTGTATTTTGTAACCTGATTATCAACATGACCTGCTTATGAGACAAGAGTAAGGCACACTTCTGAGTATGTCTGGCTGTTTGGGGGCCTAACCTTGAGGACTATGTCTGGTTCTAAGTCCTTTCGTCTTTTCCATGGGCCTCTGTACTTTTCAGGCATCCTCAACTAAGCAGCTTTGCTCTATTGTGCACTTCTGCCATGATTCTGTTTTGGAAGTAGCATACCATGGACTGAAGTCTCTGAAACCATGAACCAAACGAATCCCCCTCCTCCTTTAAGTTGCAGGTATTAGGTATTTTATCCAGCAACAGGAAAGCTGACTGATACACATACAGATGTAGAGCCTGTGGGCCCCCTGAGGGCAAGGGCTGCCCTTACCTCTAGTTCTCAGAACACTTCAAATGGTGGCCAGTTGATGCTTTATGCTTAATTGAACCATCTGGCCGCATAATTATTATGGGCTGAATTGTCTTGCCTAGAGTTGAAGTCCTAACCCCTAGTACCTTGAAATGTGACTTTGTTTGCAAACAGGGGTGGTGTAGATGTAATTGGTTAACATTGTAATGTTGGAAGGGGACTTCTGATCCATTGTGACAGATGTCCTTACAAGAGGAGAAGAAACAGACATGTGGGCCGGGGGTTTAGCTCACAGCATAAGTGCCTGCTTGGCAAGTACAAGGTTGTGAGTTCGATCCCTGGTACAGGTTTCAGAGGGAATGTGGTCTTGCTAGTGTTAGGTTTTCCAGCATGATATAGAGGCAAAAATAAAGAAAAAGAGGCCTTTCTTGAGGAGGAGTGCATAACTTGTGGGTCTAGATGCCTCCTCTGGCCAGATACAAAGGAGGCAGAAAGTTATACAACCTCTGGCCAGAGGTGGAGTTTGGGGTTGGCGTTGGTGACATGTGAGGAACTGACTGGAGTTTGCTTGGCGTGCAGGAAAGGAAAGAGGAAGTTGTAATCAGGGCTGAGGGGAGGAGGAGGAGGAGGAAGTGGTCATCAGGGAAAGAAACTGTTGTCTTCTGTTTTGGCTTCCCCCACCTCCATAATATTCAGTAATTTATACCAGGCAGAAACCTTTCAGTTAGCTGATACCTTATTTTCGACTTCCAGTCTCTGGAAGGCTAAGACAATAAATTTCTGTGTTTAAACTCTTCAATTTTTGAAACTTTGTTATGGCAGCCCTAAGAAATCAATCATATAGCCAGTTAAATTAAAGATGTATTCACAGGAAAGTGGTCTGTATTATATTTATGGAAAGAGCAGGATAAGCAAGAATTGGTTATTCTTTCAGTATGAAGGAGTGTTTAAGGTTACCGTCCTCCTTCCCTGCCTTCCTTCCTCCCTTCCTGCCTCCTTTCCCTCCATCCATTCTTTCCTTCACAATCCTCAGCGTCTGAGTGATCTTGTGATATAATCAGGTCCCTTGAGTTGAATAACTTTTCAGAAACGATCACCTGGACTGATGACTGGTATCACCCTTAGTCTCACTAGAAATTAATAAGCTGACACCTGGCTTATCAATTTATCCTTTCTTCCCCAAAGCTCAGGCCACCCAGGGTCCATTCATCAGAGCACGTTTCTGGATCTGTAACTCAGGCTGGGTCTGTGGGCATGGATGTCCCCACCAAGGTCAACAAGAGGCGCTGCCAGCTCAGCCATCTGCCCCTCGCTCTTTGACGCCTCTTTAAATTAAACCCCACACCCTGTGGTAAAATTGCTCTTGCTCTATAAATAGCCAACTTGGCTTGAGTTGCACTGAAAATGCTGCAGAGGGAGGGTGTCAGAGGGAAGAAAAAGGAAAAGCCACAGACTCAAGGGCAAATTTCCTGCCCAGTCTCTGAGGAATCCCAAGAATTCTGCGTGTAAATTCTCTTGGGCCTCTCCCCCTCTTTTCTGGTGACCTCCTTTCTTAGGATCTCATCACCAAAGGGAATGGTCCTCTGTTCCTTCCCCAGTGGTTTCATATTTGAATTCATTTTTGGATCAGGATATTGCTACAATGGTACTTTTAAGCCCTTTCCCGTGGAGTAGGCATGCTTCTAATTTCCATCCTATCATAACTGAATTAAAATGGAAACCTTCCATAGGCAGCACATTGTTACGGACGCTTTCTGCACCCACGCTGTCGTTATAATATCATAATATAATTTTATGACTGATTCGTCTACAATTTTATAGGGCTGCTACAAACCTCACATCTGCAGCCCGAGCTGCAGCCCGATAGCTTCCTAACTTCCTTCCGGACTACTTTTGCTGGGTTCTCTGTCTCAGCCCTGATGGAACGCTCTTTCCTGCTGCTTGTCATGCTTAGGTTGCCTCCTCGTGGCCCTCCCAGCTTCTTGGTCAGTAAGGTCCTCCTGGATCTTTGGGGGGCTATTTTTCAGAGGTTGAGCCTCATGCATTCCCATGACTCGCGTTCTTCCTGTCTCTTCTGGCCACACACACTTGAGTTCCTGCCCTAGATAGGTGCTCCCCTCCTGACCCCCAGCCCTAGTAATTAGCCATGTGCCAGCCTCTAAAACTGGCTCCGCCTTTGTGCCCCACCATAGAAAGACAGAAAGGTGAGACTTCATCAAGGGACAAGAGTCCTGGCTCCACTCATGAGACTCACCTTCTAGTCCCCAGTTCTTCTATCCTGAAAGAAGCCCCAACTCCAAATTCTCATAAGGGTGGGGCATGGCTTTTTCCAGGTGAATCCTCAAAAGGGCAGGAGCAAAATGCAGAGGACCTGAGGCGTGGAGGGCTTCTCCAACCCATATTCCTCAGAAGCTGATTTCCATCTCTTTCTTCCGGAATCTGGGATGATTTTAAGGTCAAATACAGCATCTGTGTGATTCACGGGTACTCATTTCCCACTACTGGGTGCTCTCCTGGGGATTAGAAAAGCAGTCTAAAAAGGCCAGCGCCGTGGGATGCCCAGGATGTTCTGAGTTGCTTTCCCAGGCCTCCCAACCTAGCGGGTGTTTCTGGGGCTTTTGTGCAGCATCATTTTCCCCAAATGTGCTCTGGGATGAGCAATCTGGCACCATCTGGGATGCTTGTGAGAAATGCAGGCTCTCAGGCCCCGCCCTTGATGTACTGAACGGGAATCTTGCTTTCACCAGGTCTGCAGGTAGCTTGGAGAAAGGGGCTGGAGATTGTGTTTGAGTCACTGAGGCCGCACACCTGTATGTGCAGGGGGCCCGCCCTGTGCCCCTGGTGCGCTGCAAGGAACACCCTCGAGAATGTGAGCAAGCTAAGTGCATTTAGAGGTTATCAATGTGTCAGCAGAGCGACCTCTTTATGGGGATCATTTAATTAATGTTAATTGCTCTTGGCCTATTGTGTGACTGCTGCAGGATTTACAGAAAATCACCATTATCTACAACCCCATAAAAGACTCATTGCTTTTAGAGGCCTTGTAACTCATGCCTGGAGACGCCGCCTGATACTTGTTATCATCTTGTTATTATCGCCAAGATGTATAAATACCGTGCACATTTGCATAATTCTCCAAGGCAGCCAGACACTCCATCTCCTGGGGTGGTGAGGAGGGGGCAAGGCAGGTACTCCCAGGTGAAAAGCCTGCTCCTCAGAGGCAACAATCGGGGTGGCAGTTGGGGGAGAATTTGCTTCATGAAGAGAGATGATTTATCCAGGTTTGCTTTCCAGTTCTGTGCTTTCATGGACCACATAAATTTCACTGTGGTTGTTGCCTTCAGCCCAGCTGTTGGAAGTGGTTTCCCTGTCACTGTGACACCCATCCCTCTTCCCCTCTGTGGCTCTGGGGTCAGGGAGAGAGGGGTAAGCTGGGGAGTAACAGGAGTGACACTGGCTCGCTACCAAAGGGTGATCAGAGAAGACTGAGTGCTTTCCCAGGGCCAGCACCTGTGCCCATACAGGTGCCAGGCCAGAAGGGGATAGGGACATGGCTCTCGGTGCTCAGCCAGTGTCTGAGGTCACAGTTGTTGGCCTTTTAAACCCTGGTCTTTGCTTCCTTTCTTCCTTTCTTTCTCTACTCTCTTCCTTCTAAGAGGGCATTGGTGTATTTTGGACTCATCACACTCTGCTTCAATTACCTTCAAGAGGAGCTTATTTCCCATATTTATTGCCCTCCTGAGAGGACTTGGGCCTTGAAAACATTCACTTCTCAAGCCTTGAAAAATCATTCTTCACAGTTATTTTTTCCTCTAACCTGAAGGCTGTCTCACTTTCCAATCTAGGAAAAAATCTCTTTCCTGATGCTGAGACTCTCTATTCCCATGCAGTTTGAACCTTCCCCAAACCCACAGCACCACTGGCTGGCTCAGGACAAAGACTAAACCCTACTCATCTTCCCTAAATTGACCTTAGTTTGGAGGGGGGTTGGAAGTTTGTGGTTAATTTATGCCCTTGATAATTGTTTTAATCCTCACTAAAATCCTGCAACTCTAACTGGGTCAAATATCTTAATGCCCATTTTACAGATGAAAAATACTGAGGTCATAAAATCTTTCTCATGGAGCAGGAACTGAAAGGAACACCCATTGTTTCAAATCTAGAAGATCTGAGGCCTCCCAGGGCCTCTAGCCACAGTGGACCTGGGCTCTCTGCAGCCTCTGGTTCTTAGAAACCAGGTGGCAGGGAGCCCTGTGCACCAGCCACTAAGTCCTCTCATTCTACCCAGGGAGGGCTGGGTCATGTGTGGTTTGCTGCCCTGACACAGCGCATGGACAGTGTCAGACCCTCTCCCAGTCTATCCTTGCCCTTCCCTGAGCCACGGCCTACACCAGCGCTCTGCTCCGCCCACAGCTCTCCGGGCTGTATGGCAGTCACTCTGGAAGTGGTGACCCATTTTTCTACACTGAGCAGCACGTATTGTCTGTGGACCCTCATGCCCAAATGATCCAAATTCTCTGAATTCCATTTTCAATGTCCTTGTCATTTGCTATGTGTCCCAGTTCTGCGGCATCTGTTGATTTGGAGATCTGAATTTTTGTCTTTTCCCTTCTTTCCATGTGTGGATGGAGTGATGGAGATTCAGAGTCCTGGGAAGCAGTGACTCATCACTCACGTGTTAGTGAGCACTTTTCTTGTCCCAGTCCCACTGCTGGGTGCTGGGGACTAAAGCTGGCTGCAGCCAGGTGAACCCTGCCCTCCAGCAACCAACGTGGGAGCAGCAACTCCCCTTCCCAAAGCACAAGGGCCAAGAAGGGGGTGGCACTGAACACAGGATCTCTTCTGCATCCTGCTAGAATTGGCTTCCCATGGCAGGAAGGATGGCCAGTCTTGATTGCTGATAAATCCCCAGCACCTGAAGAAGGCCTGGGTATGTTGGTGCTCAGTAAGTACTGAGAGGAGGGGAGAGGAGAGGAGGAGAAAGAGGGGGAGAGGGGAAAGGAAAGGAAAAAGTTTGAATTGTATTTAAATTGCATTTTTGGGCCAGGTTCTCTGTTTTCTTTATCAGTGTCCTTGCCATGAGATTAGGCAATTCCTCCATGGGAGGAGGATAACTTCCGGCCACTTTACCCTGGGATCAGCCTGTGGCTTGCTTTGACGAATGGCACACAGGAGACTATTAGTGACGATGAGTTACCTTGGAGGGTTTGGGTCTCGGTCACTGCCATGAGAAGAGTAGCCCAATCCAAGGAGGTTGTGAGATATTAGAGGGGCTCCAGACCTGACACCCTCAGGATAGACCCAACCTCCCCAGCCTCCACAGTTACGTTACCCAGCTCAGTCCACCCCAGATGCCTGAGTGAGGGAGCCAGGCGAGATCAGTGGAGCTGCCCTAGCCGAGCCCAGCCCACCACAGAAGTTGAGACCCCCTTTCTTTCTTTCTTTCTTTTCCCCCCTAGGCTTTGTGTGGATCTGGTTCCTAAGCTGTCATTCACAACCCTTTGTTCTACAGCCCCAGATACAGTCACTGGTAAAAGTCTACATCCAGAATTCAAACTCAAGATTTCATCCGTTCGTTGAGAGCCCCCTGTACTATTCTAGACATCTGCAAATACAAAAATATATTGTCTTATTTTATGGTATATATATTATTTTAATCACCACAGGGGGTTTAAACAAAATTACTGCAGACACAAGCGAATTTTTCCCCATAGAAGAATCTGTAACCTGTGCGCCACCATTACCTGTATCCCATTTCCATAAACAGCCTCACCCTGGACACCAGGGCATGCTGGGGCCCTGCTGAGTTGCAACTGGGGCTATGGAGGCTGTCACACTGTGATTTTAAACTGGGTCACTCAGTAGGGTGTCAGGAGCACTGCCCTCAACACCGAATGGTGAACAGGCACATTGTCCAGGGTCACAGCTTTTAAAAGATCTTTGGCAAAAAGTTCTATTAACATGTAGTCGATTAATATAAAGTTCAATAGTGTATAGTGATAAGCTCATTTCAAATATTTTAAAATATAAAATGTTATGAATACCATGGAAATGGGGATGAAATTTTAAGATTAAAAAAAATCTCAAAAGATATTTGGAAGTCTCAGCTTTGGATCCATTCTCAACCCTATTAAATCTTCTTTTACTTTGTGGGGACTTTGTTAGAAAAGTTAGAGAAGCATCTTCCCTTTCATTCTGCTACAGTTTATATCTCAAATGTCCCCCATGTATTAAAAGCCTGGTCACCAGCCTTTGGTGTCATTAGGAGATGGTGGAACCTTTGGGATGGGGTCTAACGAGAGGAAGTTAGGTCTCTGGGCCATACCCTTGAAAGGGTTATTTGGATTCCCTCCCCTTTCTACCATGCTCTCTCTTTTGTTTCCCAGTCAGCATGAGTGAACAGCTTCCTCCACTATGTGCTCCTACCATGAGCTACTTGACACAGGACCATGGCAACAGGGCCAAGCAACTGTGGACCTCTGAAACTGTGCCAACATAAACCTTTCTGCCTTCTAAGTTGATTTTCTCAGGTATTTTGTCACAGGGCGGCGAAGCTGATTAAATAGACCTCCTTTCTTTCCATCCTTTCTATCATTTACTCATTTAATTAATTTTTTGGCAAAAGTACAGTTATTATATTCCTATATAGTCTCTTTGGACTCCTTTTTGGTTTTAGCAGTTCCATCCTAATGGCAATGTCATCCCTAGGACTCTCTTGTTTAGAGAGGCTGCCTCACCAAAGAAAATTACCCCTGGTTTCTTCTTCTAGATCAAGCTCCAGAGTCTCATGCTTGAAGCATCCAGAATTCCCTGCACAGAATCTGCATGATATGTACATCCTGGGCTCATGAGGCCTTTCCTCATAAGGCAGATCTTCCCACAGGGTGGGGTGGGGTGGATGGAGTTGGATACTAGGTCAGTGTCTATTGACAGAAAAGCATGCTGTCATTGTTGTAGTCAGGGCTTGTACACAGAGAACATTTAGAATCAAGACATGGAGTTTATAATATTACTTTTATAATGGTCACTGGGTGTTAACACAAGAAAATGCAGGAAATTTGTCCGCAACACCAAAGACATAGAATATTTAATCAAGGGCCTAAATCCCATAGCAATGTCCCACGAGTCCAGATGAAAACCCAGAGCTTATGACAATGTCTCCCAAGAGTCCCACTGGAGTCCTGAGCCCACAAGAAGGACTCATGCCAATCTCTTTTGCCAGGAAGAAATGCCAGGAAGGCCCAAAGGTCAGCAGTGGAAGCCAGAAAGTCCATGCCAGTGGTGTAAAGGAGCTGTGCTGGTGGGATGAGGGTTCTACGCTGGAGCCGAGAAGCCGCACCCACAACAAAGACCAGGGCTATCCTAAAAGGCACCACAGCCATCCTCAGCGACAGGGAGGCCCCGAGCTTCTCCGATGACAAGCACAGTTAGGTACATGCCAGGAAGCCAGCGTGACGAGTTCATCCTGGAGACCAAGTGGCACACGTCTTCCCCTCCAAGCCAATGCTCAATGTGAGGGCCAGAGTTTCTCCAGGAGAACAAACGGCTTGAACAGCAACACATAGGAGAACCCACAATGCCACAATGCCACAATGCCTCAACATCTCAACGCATTAATGCCTTCCTTCTCCTTCTCCACCTATTTATGCTGGCAACTTTC